TGGAACCTCAAAGTATTTGAACACTTGCATGAGCAAGAATCCATAGGGAAGCCCGTGATTGCCATCCTTGAAATCAGACACTTTCTACATGTTCTCAATCATTATGGCAGGCAAACTCACAGGGTTGAAACTGTCCAATTGCTCCATTAAGAATACATCAGATTTAGAAGTGACAGATCGCCTTTCTGCTTGAGGCAACAGAACTTTATTAACCAGCTCAAACAACAACTAGTAGACAGGAAGTAGTGCTTTCTTATGGACCTGGTCCCCCTTCTGATTAGAATTTTCTTTCACAACTGCATTGCGGAAGTTGTATTGACAGACATCTCGTACACTAGACACCCCAACTGTAGGAACCTACAAAATTTCCCCAAGCAATTTCACGTCAAAACAATATCCACCCCATTGACTAAGGCACACACGTGGTCAGCATCAATTGGAAAGAAACTTGCGAAGAAACTCTTGACCTCCTCCTAATATACTTTAGGAGCGTCAATGTAGAATATATGCGTCCATTGCTGAAACTCCACCATTTATAGAAGCTAATGCATTCTTGCCATCTTAGAGATTGTTGGGTCAAACATACGATCCAACAAAACCTTTTGATGCCTTAGTCGCTCAGAGCTAAGGCAGACGTCACTTCTGGCTTTCTTCCCAGAACTGGGTTCTTCAACTATTTCAAACTTGTGTTTCCTATGCTTTTCTCCACTAACTTTACCTTTCCCCTTGGACTTGACAAGAATTCACTCCCTTATTTGTCTTGGACATGGAAGTAGATCCTTTTTCCATGGAAACAGACTCAGCCTTTTTCGAGGACCGCCTTACAAGGGAACTAGGTTCCTCAGGAGTTCCTTCCTCCACCACAACTACAAGGATAACTTCATCACACACAGGGACACCATTCTTTACCAACTTTCTCCTTTTCTTATTACTAATTTTCTTGATCTTTTGGAGTGCAGAATCATAGGCTACTTTGACTTGAAGCCTGGTATTAGGTCGCTTACTTTCACACTCAGGGGTGGTGACAACCCTGTTCTTACTTATGAATGCATCTAGGGCCACGTTATCCAGGTCTTCTTCATCACTAAATCACATTTCTGGTGCTTGAATTTTTAGGGGCACAACATCGGATGCAGGTACAACACTATCCTGGGGATGAGAGTCCTGACCTGGGTCCTCCGAAGAGGGATTATGTTCCTCATGTGATACCCCAGTAGTGTATACTACTGCATCCCCTTCAACAGCCAGAAGGGCCTCTTCTACCCACACGCTTTGTGACTTTTTTCTCTGAGAAATAACTTCATGCAATATTCCATTCGCGGATACGACAAACTTAGTCTTTTCTTCTTCAACAGATGTTTCCACAACCATGGAGTTGACGGCAACGATGGCGGAGCCTTTTGTGAAGTTAGTATTTTCACCTTGTTTTCCATTTAAGGTTTGACTGGTGTGGGCAGCAGGCGACGGAGGGGACAGAATGGTAGTTTCAGGGGTTTTTGAGTTGGGAAGATGTTGGGAAACTAGGGAAGGTATGATTGTAGCAGTAGGAGTGATAGAGGGTGACACGAACTCAATGAAGGAGAGAGGTTACATGGATGGGTCGGAAGTTTTCTCGGCCATTGGAAGAGGTGGTGTGGTGATCCTTCCTTTTAGGTGAATCTATAATAGGGCTTATGGTTAGGAAGGGCAGAAGAGAGGGGTTTTTTTAAACGGAGAGGATAATTATGAAGGGAGAATAATAGGCACCGGTTCTGAAACGGTGGTTGGGCGTGGAGAATTATGACATTTCAGAGGGAGATGGAACATTTTGAATTGAAAGGACGTGACAACCGGATCTGAAATGTTGATGACAAGGCAGTTGTATTTTGTGCCTTTTAAGACTTGTATTAAAGGATGTACAGAACTACTAACCTTTAGTACAAGAACCTAATTCTTTGAAAAACATTTTCTTCAAGCCCCCTTTTTTTTGAAAAGGATTAATCTTCTTTTATTAATCATGTACTGCATCTACTGCTTCTATGCCCATCATGCGCGTTTACCTGCAACGGTATTGAAGTGAGTTAGACAGGGCCAAAAAACACTTTGAACCTATTATTTCTTAATAACTCGAGCCAACTCAAAAAGGAATCATGTTCTTAATTTGGCCTCAACAGTCCCAACTTTACTCTGTTGCTTTCAAATTGTTCCCTACTTAGTGCCTTGGTAAAAATGTCTGCAATTTGATCTTCGATGCTGCAGAACTTCATGCATATCAACCCTTTCTCCACATTATCTCTTAGAAAATGATGTCTCACATCAATATGTTTGGTCCTTTTATGTTGAACTGGATTCTTTGCCATGTTGAGTGCACTGGTGTTGTGACATAGGAGGGGCACATTCTCAGTGAGAACTCAAAAATCCTCCCATTGTTGCTTGATCCACAGAAGCTGAGCACAACAGGATGCTGCAGCTACATATTCAACTTTAGTTGTTGAAAGAGCCACTGAATTTTGCTTTCTTGTACCCTAAGAGATAAGACATGATCCTAAGAAGTGAGCCATCCTAGAAGTGTTTTTTCTGTCCACAAGATAACATGCATAGTCTTCATCAGCATACCTAATTAGATTAAAATTATCCCCTGATGGATAGTATAACTCCAGGTCCTGCGTGCCTTTGAGATATCTCAGTATTCTTTTGGCAGCCTTCAAGTGAGATTCCTTGGGATTTGATTAAAACCTCGCACAAAGCCCCACATTGAAAGCAATATCAAGTCATTGGTAGTGAGATAGAGAAGAGACCCGATGATGCCTATATACATTGTTTGATTCACAGGAGATCCGGTTTCATCCATGTCCAATCGAGTGGCAGTTGCAATGGGAGTGTCTATCACCTTTGATTCTTCCATGTCAAACCTCTTCAAGAGTTCCCTGATGTATTTTTGCTGACAGATGGAGGTACCCTTTGGGTACTGTATTACTTGAAGACCCAAGAAGAAGTTTAATTCCACCATCATACTCATTTCAAATTCACTTACCATAAGTTTTACAAATTCTTCACACAGAGAATCAGTTGTTGCTCCAAAAATGATATCATCAACATAGACCTGAACAATGAGCAGGTTCCTTCCTTATTTCTTTAAGAAAAGAGTGTTGTCAATTTTCCCTTTATTAAAGCCATTTTCTAAGAGAAATTTTGACAATCTTTCATACCATGCTCGAGGAGCCTGCTTTAGCCCATACAAGGCTTTGTCCAATTTGAACACATATTCAGGGTGCTCATGAAATTCAAACCCAGAGGGTTGCTTCACATAGACTTCTTCCTTAAGTAGTCCATTCAAGAATGCACTTTTGACATCCATTTGGAACAAAGTGAATTCCATATGAGAAGAAAAGGCTATCAGAATTTTGATGGCTTCCATGCGAGCCACTGGAGCAAAAGTTTCATCATAGTCAATCCCTTCCTCCTGATTGTAACCTTGAACCACTAGCCTGGCCTTGTTCCTTGTGGTAATTCCATGCTCATCGAGCTTGTTTCTGAATACCCACCTGGTTCCTGTAATGGTTCTATTTGGGGGTTTGGCTACCAGGTGCCAAACACTATTTCTCTCAAACTGATGCAACTCGTCTTGCATGGCTGTAATCGAATTTGCATCTTTTAAGGCTTCCTTGATGTTCTTGGGTTCTATGTGGGAGAGAAAGGCTGAAAAGGCAAGTGAATTTCTAGCTCTTGACCTGGTTTGGACTCTGGAATCTAGATGAATGATTATGTTGTCAATGGGGTGAGAACTTTGATGTCTCCAGTTAGATGTCTGGGGTTCAATCTGAGAGGAAAAAAGTATGTTTGGCTGATTTTACGTTATCCTTCTCTCAGATGCCAGTGGAGATCCCTAAACTGCATCAACCACTCTTTCTTTAGCTTCAGTGGTTGTAGTTGAAGTGATTGGTTCTGTTGATGATGAGGCAGTGTTGTCCTCATTTTCCTCCTTCACTTGACTCATCATATCTGCTTTTCATTTGTCATGTTAATGACTTCACCAGGAATAAGTAAGGGTTCTCCATCTTGATCTTCCTCAGTATTCTTCTCAAATGATGGATGAGATTCATCAAAAATAACATGGACACTTTCTTCAACACATTGAGTTCTCTTGTTATATATCTTGTAAGCCTTACTTTGAGAAGAGTAGCCAAGAAATACCCCTTCGTCACTTTTGGCATAGAACTTACCAAGCTGATCTTTTCCATTGTTGAGAACATAGTATTTGCATCCAAATGTTCTTAGGTAAGTCAGCTTGGGTTTTCTTCCATTCAACAATTCATACGGGCTTTTGTTCAGAATTGATCTGATCATGCACCTATTCACTAAGTAGCAAGCAGTGTTGACATCTTCAGTCCAAAAGTTCTTTACAAGTCCACTGTCAATCAGCATTGTTCTTGTCATTTCTTCGAGAGTTATGTTCTTTCTTTCTACTACTCCATTTTGTTGTGGAGTTCTGGGAGCTGAGAAGTTGTGAGAGATGCCATTTTCATTGTAGAAATCATCAAATTTGACATTGTCAAATTCTGTCCCATGATCTAATCTAATGCATACAACTCTAGACTCCATCTTCACCTGAATTTTCTTCGCCTGGATTTTCTTCACTAAGGCCACAAATACTTCAACCGTTTTATCTTTTATTTTGAGAAACAGAGTCCTGTGAATCTGGAATAGTCATCGACGATCACGAAAATGTATCTCTTTTCTCCTATGCTTTGCGCCCTCATAGGTCAACACAGATCCATATGCAGGAGCTCGAGCGGTTTTGAGGTGCTCACATCTCTTTTTGACATAAAGGAGGGCTTTACATGTTTTTCTCTGGCACAGGAATCACGGACCTTTTGAGTTTTGAATTGTGACATAGGCAAACCATGGACCAGGTCCTTCTAAATTAGTTTGTTCAGAAGGGAGAAGCTTGCATGGCCCAGTCTTCTATGCCATAGTCCAGCATCATCGTTTACAGCCTTCAGACAACTCAGATCACCACTCTATAAGGATTCGAAATCAGCAACATAGACGTTCTTGTATCTTTTGGCCACCAGGACTATTTCACCAGTCACAAGGTCAGTGACTGTACATATTTTGGACAAGAACTCCAGTTTGTTTCCCTTATCACAAATTTGAGAGACACTCAGGAGACTATACTTAAGTCCGTTGACATAGTACACATTTTCAATAGTGTGAGTGAGTGACTTCCCAACTTTTACAACTCCAAGAATGTGCCACTTTTTGCCATTGCCAAAGGATACACTCCCTCTTTGCAGGGTTTTTAGTGAAAGAAAGTTTGTGGTGTTCCTAGACATGTGTTTTGAACATCCACTATCCATGAACCATTGTTGACCACTTCCCTTCACTGTTCCATGCACAAAAAATTAGGAGTTAGTTTTAGGAACCCAAACAAGTTTGGGTCCCTTGTAGTAACCAAGAGGATGAATAAGAGCTCTCTTAGTCCAAGCAGGTAATGTGCGTTTTCTTTGAGTGGAACCTGGTCCCTCTTTTGTGATCACAGTTTCAGCAGCCACTTTATCTTTTGGGACTGATTGATTCTTAGCCTGGACACCTTCCTTGGAGTGCCCAGTGTTCCCACATTGGGTACGAGGCCAGTTGTCAGATGCAGTGGCGCTCTTTCTATGAGGGTTTTAAGGATCTTTCTTCCTAGGAAATGTTGCTCTCCGCCCTTTTCACTGTTATTAGTGAGCAAGGTAATGGTAGCCTCTACAGACCAGATCCACTTTAGAGACTTTTCAAGACCATTCATTACTTTTTCTAGATTGGCTTGGAGGAGCTCATCCTACATCTCAAGGCCTTCACCTCATCTTCAATCCTAGAATATTCCTCACTTACTATCTCATTTCCTCTTTCAAAGCTTTCAGGTTTTGACTCAGTCAAGGGCTTTGCTATTAGTTCCCTATGGTCAGTAGTTTCTGCCAAGAGATCAGTCTTTTCTTTTCTAAGAATTTCAATGGCCTTCTTTTGATCAATAATTGCAGCTACTACGTATTTTCTAATATGTTCAGATTCTTCTAGTTCTAAGAACAAAGAATCACTATCCTCCACAAGACTACAAAAGGCAGTAATTAAACATCAGCTAAACACATGAGTTTTTTTTTGGAGAATAGGATTTCAGATTTTTTCTGAACATCCCTGAAGTTTACATCTTCATTGCCATTGTCTTCGTCATTGTCTGATTGAGCCATCAAAGCAAGTGTTGAGTCATATCCAATCTCTTCGCCTTCAACTACCATCGTAGAACTATCATCAATATTAGATTTATCTTGCTTTACTTGTGTAGTTCCCTCATAGGCTATTTGCAAAGCCTCACATATTTCCTTGGCAGTGTCGCATATAGATACTCTATCGTACTCTCTAGGTTCCAAACCATACACCAGAATTTTCTTGGTGTTCCTTGGCAGTGTCGCACAAGAAAATTCTTCTCCGTTGCTTTCTAGTTTGCATCAATGTATTTTCCGCTGGTCTTTTTTATTGAAAATGGAAATTCATTCAGTACCTTGATTGGAACAAACAGACCATCACAGATAACATCCCAAAGCTCGCAATCCTCAGCCATGATGAAATCATGCATTCTAGCTTTCCACCACCAATATCATTTTCCATCAAACTTGGGTGGGTGGTATATGGATTGACCTTCTTCAAGATTTAGTGGAGTCGTTATGAGGATCCTTCCTAGGCGCTAACCTGATCGAAAGAACCCGCTTTGATACAAATTAATAGCTTATATGGGTCCACCAAATCGTAGAGTACCTGGTCCTCTACAAGTTTATGCTGAGAGCACTTAGTAAAGCAGTAAGTAAATGAGGCAGAGGATTTTTACGTGGAAAAATCCCGCACAATGGGATCAAAAAACCACGACCTACACCTGTAGGCTTTTAACTTTACTAACTTGTAATCTTACCTATTACAAGCCGCTTTACTATACTTCCTATTGCAAAGGATTTACTCAACTAACTTCTTGTACCTTTACCACAAGCCACTTTGTAACTATCCTAGTTACAAAGGCTTTTTCTAACTTGTGGTGCTATCATCACAAGCCACTTTGTAATTCTACAATTACAAAGTCTTTTCTTTAAGACTAAACCTAGTCACAACCTAAACTCAATGAGTTCAAGAATTTATAAGAGGATTTCTAATTAGTATGCTTCTAAGTAAGCAATTTAGGAGATGTAGTAAGTACAATAACAAGGTTACAACTCAACTAGGACAACAATAATCAATATTTTAGGAACTGGTCCGTAATGGCGTTCAACCTTTTTTTTCAAGCTTGAGAGGATGATTTTTCTGTTTTTGCAAAAGGCTTGGATGAGAAACAGAAATCTTGTAGTGATGTCTTTGTGTAATGCTTCATCGAGTATATCTTGATCACATCACTTGAAGTTATGTGAGTGCTTTGTTTGGTTAGAGAATGAATGGGCTGATAGTATATTGCAGTGCAGCAGAAATAGTGTCGTTAGTCACTTCAGTTCCAGCTGTGTCCAAATGACTCTGTACTACTACATAGGAACCACAGGAGCATCAGGTCTTTGTTTGGTTCCTAGCTCATGAATCTGTAGCAGTTCATCCTTAGCTGGGATCTGTTACCAGTTTGTAGCAATCCAAGTAGGTCAGGTTCCCTATCTGGTTCTTATCCGTAAGTTTGTTAGATCATCAAAACATAAGGTAAGAGTATTTAAGATCTATCACTAAGAAAAACCACCAATAGATGAATAGAAGAAGATAGCCTCAAAACCTCAATTAAACCAGCAAATATCAGTAGTCAAAAACCCTAACAAAGAAAATGAGATCGAATCCGGGTTTCAAAATTGAAGTTGATCCATTTTTTTATCTTTTCTAAAAAAATCGACTAGAAAGGAAAAGGTTAGAAGAGAATGACCAAAACCTAGAAATTTTACTCGGCTAAGTTTTGAAGATTTTTCTCCGATATTTCTCTCTAACCTAGCACACAGACTTACCTTGTGTATATATAGCCTTAAAAATCTTCAAAAATCTACCCAAAAGTCCGAAAAATCTTTAGGTCTTTGAACAATTTTTGGGACAAATGGAGGGTATGGATTGTTTTACATATATCCACGGCTCCCTTTTATCCAACAAATTGTTCCTATAGTACAAAAATCGTGCGATTTGATGGAATATTCGAATTCTTTCTCACAAAAACCGTTAGGAATCAAATGACGTGGAGGGGAGGGGACCATTTGAGTGAACTCGGAAACGAGTTGAGGTTGAATCGATTTGAATCAGTGAGAAAGAAGATGAATAGTAGTAGTAGGTGCCCGGGAATGCCTAACACCTTCTCCCTGGTTAACAGAATTCTTTACCCGGATTTCTGTATTCGCGGACTATAGAACAGAGTCAATCTTTCCTCGATTCGGGATTTGAACCGGTGACTTGGGACACCATAAATTATCCCAAGTGGGGACTCTGAATTTTTTAATAAAATGATCCCGCTTCGCTTGTCACTTTAAGTTGGAAAAAACTCCCTTATACACTTTACCGGGGGTATAGGTAAAAAAGGAGGTGTGAGAGCTCTGGCGACTCTGTTGGGGATCGAACCCAGAATCTCTGGTTCAGGGTTCAAGAATTCGAGCTTAGAATAATTGTTATAGTTGGCTTTATCCATTATCTGAATTTGTTACATGATGTGCGAATTGATTGCTTTTACCGCTTTAATATTCCGTGAACTGTATAGAAACTGTTGTGAAATCCCTCTTCTCTCTGAGTCTTCTAAATCATGAAGAAGTGTGCACTTCGTGTGACTTCTTTTCTGTTAAAGTCATATCCCAAATTTAGAACGAGGTTCGGACAAGTTGCAAAGCCGGTGAAGCTTCTGTATTCCCGATACACTGCACCCCCTCGGCTCGAGCTGTTCGCTCGGGTAAGCCAAGTCTAGAATAATAAATCCAGGTTTTGAACCTAGTACAACAAGACCTCATGCCGGATCCCTAGTAGGAACGTTTTCTTGCATCATGTGTATTTAACTTTGGAGACTCAACACAGGGGTTGGGTCTGTCTAGGACAGGTGCACCCGAAATGAAAAGACCATCTTGATGCATCCTATGTGCTACATGTTGCATTTATTCGAGGGTAAAAGGGTCATTTGGCGGACCGATATTAGTTGAGGGCAAATAAAAAAAAAGAAGAAAAAGAGAGGGTGAAGTGTGAAGATGAAGTAAGTGGGGCCCAGTTATAAGTTTCTTTCACACTTTTTCAAGAAAACAATTGAAAATGAAAAATTTAAAGAAAAAGATTTTGCACTTTTTCATCATTTTCCGTAAATTAGAAAATAAAAAAAATGGAAGAAGAAAATCCAAAAAAAGATTTTGCATGTTTCATCATTTTTCAAGAAAAAGCAACAAAAAAAAATATGTTTTCTCTAAAATAGTTGTTTTTTTAATTCTCGCCCGTATACATGATTCTCGCCTTTCGGGGCGTGATACGTAGGCAACCCACATAGGGTCCGGTCTCCCTAGTGATCTCAGGTTCATGGCTATGCGGGGTCTTAGCCAAATCTTGCATTTTTAGTCACTTTTAGCCACATGGGTTAATTTTAGAAAACTAGCCTCAATCATGTCTTGCATGTGTCCAACTGGAAGGGTTATTGTCTCACATAGCATTATAGGTCTTTAACTTTATTTGGTCTTAATTTTCTCATACAGGTGTCGGTATACTTATCGGAGTTTGAGCATGACATACCCCAGGACCACCGCATTCAGGAGTTGCTTAAGGAGATTTTTATATTTTTATTTATTTTTATATTTTTTTATGTCGTCTTTTACTTTCTAGTTTTGTACAACAATGTCGAGTTTTTTTTTGTTATTGTACTTTTTATTTTGTATTTGGAATGGTGTGGTGTAACTCAAAAATCTTAAAAAAAAACAAAAAGATATTCTGTGTTTTTATATTTCCGTTAGAATTTTCTTTAGAAATACTACTCCTAGAAATCAAGAAGTAAAAAAAAGAAAGCTTGAGGTGGTTTTATTTTAGGAAATTAGTATCTAGAATATTTTTTTTAAATTGCTTTTATACTTCCTTTAGTATATTAGGACCGAAATTCAAAAAAAAAAAGAAAAAAAAAAGAATTTTCTTTTAGTCCCTCTTTAAAAGTTTTCTTCAAGGCATTAATTCCAAAATCCAAAAAGATTTTTCTTGTGAGGTGTTTCTTTGGGAAATAATTGAAAGATGAAAAACAAAATTCCTTTTATTTTCATTAGAACTTTAGGATATTGTACATAGAAAAAAAAAAGCATACTTTATCTTTTGTTTATCATTAAAAAATTTCCTTTAGGCAACCAAAATTGAAATTCAAAAATATTATATTTTATCTTTTTCATTGCTTGCTTCGAAATCTTGCGTCAGGATATCAAATGAAGATTCAAAATATTTTTTGTGGTTTATTCCTTAGATTTCCTTCATAAAAAAAGAATCAAAAATATTTTTCTCTTTTAGAGTTTTTCCTTGATAATTTCTCATAGTGTATCTATTTTAAAAAAGAAAGGAAAAAAAAAAGAAAAGAAAAGAAAATGAAAATGTTAGTTTGTTTACTTTATGCCCGATCTTCCAGAACTACGCAAAGATCTGATTCATGCGACATCATGATACGTAGGCAACCTACATAGAGTTCGATCGAATTATTTTTTTTATTAAAAGAAAAAAGGAAAAAAGAGAAAAGAAAAAAAGAGGTGGAATTGTGGGATGCGAGATATGCGAGAAAGAAAGGGTGATGATTAAAAAAAAGAGAAATGAAGGAAAATGGGCAAGGCAGCAAGTGCTAGAAAAGCAAAGAAAAGAGAGGTTGAAATGAACAAATTGGGATGATGCCAACTGACCTTTGTACCGTGGAAGTCATTTTAGAACCGATAACTGTGGCTAGGTGCATTGCACATAAAGTGAGATTATCTTATGTTAAATGCTCTAACGCTAACGTGATGGCTTCATTTTGTTATATTCATAGCAGAAGGGTGGTTGGTTTGTGGTTTTAAAGTGGTAACTCCTTCCTATAACATAAAGTCAAAAGGCAATGGAAGACAACAACAAAACTGAGTTGGTTGATACCGGCGATCGAAAGTAGTTGGTGGAACAGGACAATGGGTTGGTTGAAGAGGTAAATATGTTAAAACAACACATGGCTGACATGCATCAGGCTTGGATGACTGGGAAGGCGCCACCCCC